CCACGGTGGTGGATTAAATAAAATAAGGCTAAAAACAGCGGGGCGGGCGGTGGTGGACTCCATCACTGCCCACCCCACTGTTCTCAGCCTTGTTTTTTACGTGCCGCATGTTTCTTTCACTTTTGCAGCTTAATAACTGTTTTGGTTTTCCTGTGACTTATTTGCAGTTTGATAAATGGTTGGAGCATAAATATATGCCCAATGTTTTGTTGTTCTTTTTAATGTAAATAATAAATGACGTTTATTTAAAAAAATGTTTGCAAATATGATATAGCATCTTGAGTTCCTACGACATCATCGACTAGTTGATGTCGACGTCGACTTTTATCATGTTAAAGTCAACTTTAAAAATTTGTAGTCGTTCAACCCCTAATCTTAACGTGTTTCTTTGTTTTTCCTCCTATAGAATTTTTTTTTTGTATTGAACGTTTTTTGAACTCCTATAGAAAGTACACCTGGACCTGTCATTCTGTGTTTGTCTGTTTCTACTTCCTGTCTTCTCAAACCCAGCTGGTTGACGCAGATGGCCGCTCGTCCTGAGCCTGATTCTACTTGAGGTTTCTTCCTGTTAAAAGGGAGTTTTTCTTTTCCACTGTCTCCTTTGTGTTTGCTCAGGATGGGAAACTGTGACTAAGTGGATTCAAAACAATCTGCTGCTTCCTTAGTGAACTTTTACTAATCGTCTTTTATAATGTATGTGAATTTTTTTGTACAGAGACCCGAGATAAAAGATTGGTACAGACTAGCTGTCACAGCAGAGCAGCAGTTCAGTTAAGAAAATGGTGACAAAATGAAATTAAAAGAAAAAATGTGAAAACAGATTCCACAGTCTCACGATGAATATTCTGAACCTGTTTCTAACACACAGCAAAACCAAGTCTAAATAAATTGTAACAAACTGAACGTTTTCCTGTTTTAGCTTCATATGTTTAGTTCATTTCACCATGATGGATATCAGACTGTTTCAGTGAAACGAAACCTCCTCATTTACCTGCTTGCTCCTGTTTTTTCCAGAAATCAGTCAGCTTGTTGATGGCAGTCACGAGATGTGTAGCGTCTTCTCTATCCACCGAAGCGCTGGCCCACGTTGTGGCAACATAACTGCGCTTCTCATAGTTCTGCAAACAGCAGGAGTCAGAAGTTTCGTGTGACAAACAAACAAACAAACAAACAAACAATGAGACTGCTGTCACACCTACCACATTACTTTCAACCACTTTGTATACCGGACAGGGGTTACCGTGGCAATACTGTGTGTAGTCGGCACAGCTCAGAGGCACAAAGAGCAGGACTGTGAGTGCAAACATCAGCTGCTCCATCGCCACCGTCTGCAGAGGAACTGCTCTGATGCTGCTCTGCACAGCAGATATACTCCTGCCACCAGATGAATGAGTCGTGCAGCCACGCCCACACAGTTCTCACCTTTCAGGATGGTTCACCTCACTCTTCTTCTAAGCATCTGTTCTGAGACAGAACTGTATCATTTGGAGATCACTGCTCTGATTTTCAATTTCTAATCAGGTTTTCAGATCAAATGCTAGAAACACTGGCTTTGGGTCTGAATTCAGGTCATGCATGACTGGTGATTCTAACCTCGGGTACATGTTGTGTGTCTTTGTGATCCTGAGCAGGACGCAGCACGTACAAACATAACTCTAAAATGCTGTTTATCTGAAACTGAAACAATGTGAGCTCATTAATGAGACCTTATCTTCATGTTTTCTAAACTTTCTGCAGTGAAGAGATAAAATTAAGGTTAACAGAATGTGACACCAAACCAGTTTGCATAATATATTGTCAGAAAAGTCGGGCTTCATAAAACCTCAAACAGTTTGTAGATGTTCATCAACTGATATGGGATCAGTGCAACACGACAATGCTGCCACCTTTGTAAACACAACAATTGCTGTAAGTCAGTAATTATTACAGATCTTTAACTGAAGTTTGGTGCGTTGATTTCATTTACATTTACTTAGAAGTTTTTGAACCACTCTGACCATGACTGCCTCAGACGAGTTGACGAGGGAGAAGACTGACTCCACAAACCCACCATCAAACTGGTTGATCCACTATGTGAAGGTGCTATTTATAAGACAGAGTTTGTTGCAGCTCCTCAGATTGAAGAAGTCTTTTGGATGAAAGACGAAATATTTAAACAAGAAGAAACCGTCCATTGGACCTGACAACTTTGATGGATATGTAGAAGGGGTTTTCCTTTGTTAACATTTACTTACTAATTTATTTTAAATTCCTTGTCAGGAACTGTCATATTTTCCCAGCTCTTTAGCTGAGCAGAACAACTGGTTAATTAGTTTTATGAACATTTCTCTGATTTTCATCCTTAGAATGTTCTGATGATCAATCTCGTTGATGCAGATCAGCTGTGGTGAGGGATCATACGGCTCTGTTCTGAGAACTTACTCATTTGGCTCAACTCACCAAAATAAGCTAGCTGTTTGGCTCTCAGGTAGCTGTTTGTGGGGTGCCTACTCGGAATCAGCTCAGAGACATTGGGTCTATCAAGGCTGAGCCTTTATATCTGTATAAAAGTGGACTTTGGGTTGTGGGACTTAATAAATGTAATGCCACAACCAGTGAAATACCTTTGTTTTTTCATGGATTCATAAATAAATGATAACTGTGAAGAATGTAAGCCCTAAGGAAGTTAAAATCTCCACATAGGCTCTCTACCTGCCACTTTTCCACCAGTGGCGGTTCTACACCAGTTTTGCTGAGGGGGCCTGGCTGGGGTCAGAAGTTTTGTCAGAGAGGCACAATCAATTTATTATTCATTTATTATTTTATTCATTTATTTTTTTTAATTTATTTATGAATTGCATTTTTATTGTAATCAGAACATTCTTTCATTGTATTCCAAAGTGCTATGTATTCTGACTGCAAATTAGCTGAAGCTAGATGTCTTATATGAATCACATTTTCCCATTTTTAAAGGCAATGTTGTCTGTATTGTCCCTGTTAAATAAACATCAAGAAACGTTGGTTATGTACTGTAACCCCAGATTCTATGAGTATAGGCGTAGCCCTTTAAAAGCTGTCGCTGGTGGGTCGCTAAGGCGCTCAGCGCTGCACTGAAAACTTTAGTCCACGCCCACATGCTGTGTGGGCCTCTCCCCCGGTCCGTATAAATTACGGTGAGACCGGGAATTGGCTCCCAAATAGCTTTTTCTTCAGCCATTTAGGAACCAGTGAGGCCCAGAGCTTAAAGGGCTATGCCTATACTCATAGAATCTGGGGTTACAGTACGTAACCAATGTTCTATTTCGTATAGGCTTCGCCCTTTAAGACTGTCGCTGGTGGGTTAAAGGCGAAGCAGGATTTAGTCTATGCCTCACTGGGTCCATTCCGATACAACATGAAGCACCTGCTTGCACAAAAAAAACATTTCATCACTCAGTCTTCTGTGTGCGTAATTACGCGCTGCGTAATTGCGTGCTCCATGTGCAGGAGCGCACCCGAGAAAATCTCTGGTGAGGAAAAAGGCTGAGATAGCAGACCTGCTGCTGTGAATAGGAACAACGGAGGATACGAATTGTAACAGTGTAACGATGAACAGAGCAGACCAACAGTTCCACAGGATGAACCGATTAATAACGATAAAATCAGCAGTCATCAAGTTGTGACTGATAATAAATATCTCATACAGCGACTGCATGCAGGCATGTGTGAGCTCAAAAGTGAGGCTCCATGAAACAAATAATAATCATTCTGTCAGAACCCTGAGAGCAGAATGGGTCATGGAGAAAGTAGAAACATCACATAGATAAAAACGAATAATTGAACATGACCTTGGCCAGGCAGCCGCCATACAAATATCCTCCACTGTCATCCCTCCATGCAGAGCCATGGAGGATGAAAACCCTCTGGTGGAATGCGCCGAGATTCTCTGGAGGATCCAGTCCAGATGAACTGTAAGCTTCAGAAATAGCCTCACACAACCAGTGTGAGAGGCGCTGGGTGGGTAGAGGACGTCCTGAAGAGCTGTCCCAGTAATGCACGAACATACACTGAAAATGGCCGTGTGCACCACGTAACATGAAAAAATCTGTGCATAGGACAGAAGGAGGTGAGATGCTGCTTCCTCCTTAGAATTATGAGGAAGAGGATAAAAACCCATCCAAGGTTATCACTCTTGATCTGAATGAGCTTGTGATGCTTTTCAGAGCAGAGTTAAAACGCAGTACAACTGAACTGCCGTCAGCTTGAATTCTGAGACATGAGGGAGCAACAGAGAGAGCAGACAATCATTCACTCTCTTTGTCGACGTCAGAGCTAACAGCAGGGCTGTTTTAAATAACAGAAATTTAAGTAAAACATGATCTAAAGGCTCAGAAGGAGCTTTGATCAGAGCGTGCAGGACCATCATTAGGTCTCACTGTGGAGCTAGTAGACGTGACACCGGTCTGTGTCTCTGTACACCTTTCAGGAAATGCTTCATCAACGGGTCATTAAAAACTGTTCTCGTGACAGGGAGAAATAGCTGCAGCATAAGTCTTAATTGTGCTGAACACTAGATCCCTGTCCATCTGCTGCTGCAGAAAGGACAGCATGCCACCTAGTGGACATGAGATGGCCTTTACACCTTTCTCCATGCACCAACGCTGAGAAAAGCTGTCCACTTGATGTGTACAATGTTGTTGTGGGAGCAGCTTGTGCGCCCTGAACGTACGCACCACATGCTGTAGGAGGCCCATCTTTTCTAAAACGGATCTGTTTAGCGGACAGACCCAAAGATGCTGACCTATTTCTGCGTAACTCCTGATCGCTATTCCTGCCTGGAGTAAAGTGCCCCCCCCCACAACAGTTTCCACAGCCGACCCGATATCAGTCGCTGCAGATTCGGGAACCACGGAGCGCATATGCATTCAGGAGCTACGAGGATGACTGACGGTTCTTCCTCCTGGACCCGGTCCAGGGTCCGTGATATCAGCAGGACTGGAGGGAACGCATAAAGGAGCATTTTTTGGCCACGGGCTGTGAACAAAGGCGTCCACTCCTAATGGGGGGTCGTCTCGTGGGCTCAGTGAGAACCATAATTAGGACTGTGCATTTTCCTGTGTAGCAGACAGATCCACTGCTGCTCGGCCAAAAACGGCTCCAAAAAACCGAGAAAAACAGCTCAGTATGGAGGCTCTAGTATCTGTGGCGGGGACTGCCCCTCGACGTGATATCCACTCGCCTGTTCAGGAACGCTGGGAAAGTACACTGCTCTGATGGGGAGCAGGTTCCTGTGTGGCCAACACAACAGCTGTTTCGCGATGCATAACAGTTGGACTGAGCGTACACCTCCCTGACGGTGTATGTAAGCTGCTGACATTTGTTGTCTGTGTGGATCAGAACACGCTGATCCCGTAGCAGGGGCAAAATGCTGAGTCACATTTCAGACCGTGAAAAAACATTCTAGCACATTTATGTGAAGCGACATGTGGTCCAGCCACTGTGATCCCACTGCTTGGGACAGACACATTCCACCCAGCTTGACAGGAACACATCTGTGAAAACTGAGACGTGTGATGTAGGCCTGCTGATGGGAACTCCCTCTGACAGAATGAGGAGGTTTCCCCAGTGATTCAGATCGTTTCTCATGAAGGGGGGCACAAAGATAATCCACCTCTTCTGGCGCACAGGATCTATGCGCAGGCGGGCGAACCATCTCTGAAGGCATCTCATGTGAAGTAGGCCCAACAGAACTATGATGTGGGCCAATTACATAGTCACAGGAGTCGCATGACAGGCAGAACTGTCACTATGCTGCAGGGTTTAATACAGCGGAGCCGAGTTTAATACAGCGGAGCCGAGTTTGACACAGCGGAGCTGAGCTGACAGAGCTTCGGCTCTCAGCTGTGATAAACGGACTCTCATTGTAGTTGAGTTAGCTCCACTTCCAGATAAACAGTAGGTGTAACACTAGTGTTTTGGTCTGTGTGACAGCTTTCTAACTGGACCGAGCTAATAAGAGCTGATCATCCATATAAAAGGATTTCTCATTCTTGCCATGTGTAAGACTGCAGCGCCGTCTCCACGCATTTTGAGAACATGC